GGCCACTTAAAATGTGTAAACATTTCTAGATATATAAAATGTAATTCTTACTAGTATAAGTCTGTGTTTTCTACATTCTAAAATTCAGTTACTGCTAAAAAAATGTACTATAGAATTTTTTTTTTTTTTTACAGTTCATTGTAGGAGTATGATTTTGATCAGTAAGAATCTTATTTAGGTGATCTACAAATGGAACAACAGAGAGGAGAGTGCTTTTAATAATCTTAAAATCGGCCTGTCATTGTCAACTTCATATAAAAGTACGCATTAACTCAAGCAACAATCTTTTCCTGTGCCGTCTTCCTCTCGTTTGCAGCTATAGCAGAGTTTCTATGTCTTTTAAACACATTCTCCCTTTTTTATAAATTTTTTGCTTGCATTTCTGCATTAAAATCTCTTGTTCCAGTGGGGTTAAATTGGCACTTGCTGTTTCCCATTTTTCATGATGACTCGTCGAATCGTGGCTCCACTGATAATGGCTTTTCATACTTGTTTCGGACGTGCTAAACTCTGAGTGGTTATACTTGGAGTTGACTGAACTAATTCATAGCAGCCATTGTGAAACCGAAAACTCTGAGATCTCCACATTAGACTAGATCAATTTAGAGTTTGTTTAACTTTGTTCATGAAATGGACCCCAGATGTCGACTCCATCAGCCACTAACCTTAGGCAAACTGTAAGGGGTTCAGCATGGTGCCTAGCATGGCGCCCTAAATGTCCTTCATGTGGTTCTACACCAGTCTTTTAAATGACTTTATCACTACAGATATCTGGGTGACAAGCCTTTAGCCATTTGATCCAGAAATAGATTTTTTCTTGGGGGACTAGGACCTGTGCAAGATCTGTGTGAAGATGGGGGCCAGCTGGTTTTCCTGGTCTTCTGCTTCTGCAAGAGCTGGCACACGTCATCTTCACAATTCATGAGTACAGGTGAGGCGTCTAAGGGCAGAGGTGAGAGCCTGGCATTTGAGGTAGTTCGCGGGTTGAGGGGTCACTGTTTTAGGATGGTGAGGGAGCGAGGTAGTGGTGTGTCTAAGGTTTTTTTTTTATCCTACAATAGAAACCATTTAGCCCATCATCTAGTTTTTAAGTTCTTATAGAGTCAGGGGATGGCCTACGGCACTTTATGTCTCCATGCCATTCCCAACTAACACAAGTCACTGTCACTTCTTTGCAGCTGTCACCTGTTTTGTCAGTATATTCCTAGTCTGGTTGTGCAGCACTACTCTTCTGAGGCCTGCTCTGTAGTCTGAGGAAGCTGCATGAGTTTAGCTGTGAACCTGGGTTTTGGTTGTTTTATGTGCATTAGGTTGTGATTTGTAAACACCCATCCTCTCAAAAAGGGATGTAGGATGTCACCATATAGGTAAGTTTATCCAGGTTAGTGACCTCAGCTTCAAATGCACAACATGTCATTAGTCAAAGTAGGCTTTAACTCAAGCTTTGACTCATTGGTCAATCTTTTCAGAATTTGTGCAATGGACTAAGCAAATTTTAGTTTTTTTTCTTTTTTCTTAAAGGAATAGTACACCCAAAACATGATTAGCCTTCATTTTCTACTCACCCCCATGCTGAACAACACTCTGGAGTACTTTTTTGATATCTCAAATGCATCTGGAGATCTGGGAGGCTTCTTGCTGTCTGCTGACATTCAAATAATGGAGGTGTCCAGCGCCCGAGGCAGAAAGGTCCATAAAAGTCCACAAAAAACGTTTCAATATTCCTCCATACTGCTCGTCCAATGTATTCCAAGTGTCCTGAGTGGGTAGCATCCAGAATTTACTCGAAACAAAGTCATTTAGAATGTTTTTAGAGCATAAACAGTAGTGTACAGGATTTCCTGAAAGCGCGCACATGCACGATCACGACGCTACGGAAGCCGGCAGACCAAACCAGCGCATTCAGCTCGGCAAAGAACTCATGCTCTTCCTCAACACTGAAGTCCTCAGACATTTTTCTTTCGTTGTTTCTTTCTTTGCACAGGTAAACTGCACATTTCTTCTTCTACGCTTGCATTATTGGAAGAGCAGACGCTGAATGCGCACTTTCATCTGGTTTGGTCTGCCGGCTTCGTGATCGCGCATGTGCGCGCTTTCAGGAAATCCTATACACTACTGTTTATGCTCTAAAAACATTCTAAATGACTTCGTTTCGAGTAAATTCTGGATGCTACCCACTCAGGACACTTGGAATACATTGGACGACCAGTATGGAGGAATATTGACACGTTTTTTGTGGACTTTTAAGGACTTTTCTGCCTCGGGCACCATAGACCTCCATTATTTGAATGTCAGCAGACAGCAAGAAGCCTCCCAGATCTCCAGATGCTTTTGAGATATCAAAAAAGTACTCCAGAGTGTTGTTCAGCATGGGGGTGAGTAGAAAATGAAGGCTAATCATGTTTTGGGTGTACTATTCCTTTAAGAAAATATTTAAAGTAGACAGGAAACTTTTCAATTACATGTTTTTGTAAGATATTATTGATAATAATTACCAATAAGGGTGAGTGGTGACCTAGTGGTTAGAGCATTGCCCTTGTGCTCTGAGAAGATTGCAAGTTCCCTGTTCGATCCCCACAGCCTCTACTCTGGGTTCCTGAGCAAAACCCTTAACCCCATACTGCTCCCCGGGAACCACACAATGGCAGTCCATTGCTTCCCAAGGGGATGGGTAAAATGAAGAGAGTGAATTTCCATATTATGGGACAACAAAGGGATTTACAGATTAATACTTAAACACTTTTAGAATACTGATTTAAACAACAAAAACTATTAGAATAAATATTAGTAATTAGTTTTGCTTAAGTTTAACCCTAATTGAATAATCTGTCAGCTAATCTGACATACCCAGTGTAATGCTGGGTATGTCAGACCAATTATTGCCTCCTGCTCCATGTTTTCCATATAAATACCTGGCTCATAGGCTTTATTCACTGACAAACCTAGAAAATAAACACCATAGATATTTAATTTTAGTGGATCTAATGTATTTATATTTCTTTCCCTTTTTGCATCTGAAATATTTTTGTATCATAGGGCCAAATGCACATACTCTGGTGGTGCATCCGGTGGTGTAGAGCAATGGCTAAGTGTTAACCAGCAGTAAAATGGGTCTGGATAGATATAAAGTTACTGGATAATGGCTCATGAGGTATGCGTTTAGCACAACTAGGCTGTATTTTGTACACAGAGCTTTAATGGAGACCCTGAGGATCCTTGAGTTGCCTGCTGGTGGTAGTTACAAATTAGACAAAATGTAAAAAAAAAAAAAACAAAAGGCTTTAAAACAAAGTGTATCAAATGATGAATATAATAGCAGTGTTTACTATTAGGCAAAGATTAAAGTAGGTCATATATTATTGTTAATATTTTCATGTAGTGAAAAACATTCTTTTGATCTGACTTCCATCCTCAGAATTTAGGATTACAAAACCATTGTTGAGTTAGGTGTGCTGGTTCAATCTCTAGAATCGCGCCTCACAGAGGAATGCTCAGCAACCTTTTTTAATGTTATAATGAAGTGAATATACTTATTGATAGCTCTATAGTTTACGCATTGTATGCCAATATTATATTCAATCCAAAGGTGGAATGTCAGTCTCCCATTGGTTACAATATCAAAGACACTAAGGGTTTTTGTACAGTGCTATAGGTTAACATGAGAAAGATTAGAAGGGAAAAATGTGGGTTTATTGCACCTGCTATGTATCCAATCTTTTTTTTTTTTAAGATTTTAACATATAATATCATGTAACCATAGATAGAAAAAAATAATAATAATTATTATATATATATATATATATATATATAGGATAATTGATCCTCCTGAAACCTACTTCAACTGCCCAAGCAGATGGAATAAGTCGACTTAGCTACATAGCAGTGAAATGACCTCCATTTAGAGGAGGGGCTACCCTCTGGAGATGTTTTGTGAATGTGCCTGGGCCACATCTCGGATTGGTGGGTGCCGTCTGGTGAGTAATGGCTCACAGTAGGCTGTTAGGCTGGCTTGTGGCCAGGATTCTTATAAAACACACCTTTGGCATCACTCCCCTTTAGATCTCTCAAGGATTGGCTCACTGTGGTGAAAAATAAAATGGCCTCCTTACTTTAGTCCCTTCAGATTCTGGTTATCACGACGAAGACTTTCCAACTTATAGGCGAGGTGTGGGTGGTCTCCTTGTCTCCTATCCACATTTACAACACACGTCTGAGTGACAAACTGGTTCTTACATAACATAAACACACAAGGAAACATACTCTGAGGTAGCTATAATATCAATATAAACCACCTATTATATATTTTTTATATTATAGAGTCAACCATCAGCTATTTATTTGGTCTACGTTTAACAATACCTTTCCAAATTGAGGATTGTGTTCTTTTTTTCATCCTTTATAGATGTTAAATTGATCTTTTTCTTTCTCTGAAAGAGTTTTGTCTGTAGCTTTTGTGTCAATATCACTATCAATTATATTTTTCTAAAGGTGACTAACAGAGTGGGATTGAACAACTGAACGTTTTCTTTTGTGTGCCATTTCTTGTGGTAATTTTCATATTTTTAGGATTATGAAATAAGATTTTCTGTTTTGTCTCAAAATCATACAAATGTTGGAGTATGGCAGAGGAGATGGGTGGTGAGGGAGCTGAAGTGCATTTATTTCTTCACATCACGCTGATTTCTTATTTTGTTTTAAATGAAAGGGATGAGCAGAAAAGCTAACAATTGTCCTCGTCAGTTACAGCTTTGTCTCTCTGATGAAAAGCTACCACTGAATATACTTGCTTTTGACACTGGGAAACTATTGCTAACTGGTGCCTATTATCTCACTTTCACTATGGCTTTCATGTAGTCCAAATATCTGCCCCCTTTAGCCTATCATGAGCTTCCTTTTTCTCAAATTTCTTGTATCAAGTAAACCTCTGTACAAATTTTTCATTTTCAATCTGTATTTGTTATGCTCTCAATAAGATCTACCTGTCTGAATGTTCTCCACAGGTGCTGACCTGTTCTCTAACTGCACAGAGGAGTGCAAGGCCCTAGGTCACTCTGACCGCTGCTGGATGCCATCCTTTGTGCCATCAGATGGCCGCCAAGGGCCGGACTACCGCAGCAATCTGCACGTCCCCGGCATGGATGCCACGCTGCCTGACACTGAGGTACCCTGCTCCGTCAACCTCCCCGACCAACTCACCATGACCTCCTCCACTGCCTCCTCCAATGATAGGTCATTCTCCACCTTTGGCAAGGATGGCCAAAGATCACAGTCACACCACAGCCTTCAAAATCACCTCCATCAGCAACAGCAGCAGTACAGCTCCAGCACGCTAGAGAGGAAAGAGTATGATAGGGGGACCCTACCGTACAAACCAACCTTTCTCTGTGAGTATCAGTATGAAACTTCGCTTGGACCCTTTGACTTCAGTCTGGTCCAACACAGAAACTAAAGGAGGGGGCCTTGAATTGGCCTCTTATTCTGATTTGGACTTTCACATTTATCAACTTTTAGTCTTCTGTATCTAAGGAGGTCAAGAATACGGCCTTTAATTTTGTTGTATTTTTTTTTTTTGTATTTTTCATTATTTAAATATATTTTTTTTTCTCTTGTAAAATGTATAAAGACCTACCCCTTTTCTACTAATTCTACAATTCTATTTTAAATTAACTTAACATTAACACAAATGTTGCCTGTATTTACATATATAAATGTGAATAAATTTTGCATGCTATTCTTTTTTGTTTAGTTTTTTTTTTCTCTAAATTACCCCTCCCTTTAAAATCCTTCCTACCTGATGCTCATACTTGTAAAGGTCAGCAACACTTGCATGATTCATGAATGAAACATACATCGATATACAGAATCTCATGAAATAATAGCTACTGTATATGGTATAGTATATGCACTTTATGGTTGGACTTCATTCTGGATGAAATTATGCAACTTTGCTGGATGGTGTGGAGGTGATCAGTTGATGGCTCTGCTGATGTGTTAGGGAAGCACAGGTTGCTTTAATCATCCTCTGTCTCTCGCCTTGTTTTCAGCCATATTTCATTAATTCTCAGAGAGGTTTAAGCCAGGTCTCTTTGCGTACCAATAAAGCAGAATAATACAATAGTCTTTAAGGCATTATTAGCACTTGTTGCAGTACAGCCAGGTGCCAAGTCCAGCAACAAAAAGGAAGATAACTCTCTCCATGAACATGTAGTTATTTCTGCAATGACTTTTGACCTTCTAAAACATAGTAGACAAACATTATAAGATAAAACTGGTCACCAAATTATCACTGAGTGTCAAAACATTTTTTCTGGAATTGGATTCTGATTCTCTAAATAATAATTTAATCCCAGGGAAATAATCCCTGGGAAAAATAATTCTTGATAAAGAACAAGCAGCTAACCTTTAGCACAGTTCCTTTCAAGCAAAAAAGCATAGTGGCCAAGGCCTTTCTGCTTGGAGTGCATCTCTTATTTCTGCATGTAGGTAGGCTCCATCCTTGTATTTTGGCTTGTCTGTTGTTTGGCAGTGTCAGTGTTAACCTGTGAAGGGTTGATGCTGTCATCAACCTCCTCTGACGATTAAGCCTGTAAAGAAAATGAATGAATGATCATTGTAAATCAGACCACTGCAATAGTCTAGTTCCTTTTTCGCAGCAGTAAAGGTAAAACCTGCCCCAGGTTTTCTCTTGCTCAAAGCAATATAAGCTGTAACTTCTCCGAAAAGAGAGAGAGAGAAGATTTTAAAAGCTTACTACTTAATTCCCGCTCCTCCTTCCCTCTTGAAGAAGACGAATGCCATGGCTACAAGCCACGTACACCACCTGCTCTGTACAAGCTCTGGGCAAACGGTGTACGGAAATTAAGCATAATTGGTGTGAATAAAGCTTTTTGTTGCTTTCTCTTGAAGAAGAGGGTGTCAGTGGCCGTCTGCAGGACAAGTAGAATTTTAGGCTATAACATGGTCATGATACAAAATCGCAAAAAAATACACTTTAAAAACACTTTAATTGGTCTTATCTAATATTTTGATGTTTTGCAAAATGAAAAGAAAGCCATCATTCAGCTATAACTTTTTTTAACATTAACAAAAAAGATAACATAAGTAAACTCAACTTGTATTGCACTTTGTTAAACTGAAGTTATGTTATAATTAACCATATGAAATAAATAAATTTTTTGATAATACTTTATTTGTTGAGATAAATGTATCCTAGAAATTGTATGCTTGATAAGTATGACTGAGCACAAACAAAAGGAAGTACAAGTCAGAGTAAGAATTCTCCACTTTTGCATCAACATTTATGAGCATGATCATATGACTTTGCTTCTGAAAAGCTCTATAGGTGAAGCATACAATCCACACTTCTTTAAGTAAGTCCATTTGGCTCTGAAAAGGAACTGAACTGTTTTAAATTTCCTGGTTGTAGATACAATGCTGGACATAGAGTAAGGAGAAGAATGTGATTGTTTTACTGCAATTTCAGGATTCTTTTAGCTAAAAAAGAAATTGACATAATGTCCTCTCGAAAACTCAAAAAATAAGTGGCTAATAAAGATGAGGAATTTAAGTCATAAGTGACTTTATTTTGCAATTTAAAATGAATTAATGTTTGGTATATTTAAAGCTGCTTTTATAATTTCAAAGCAAAGAGTAGAGAATGAATTTGATATACATATTCAGAAGGGAAGTCATTTCCAGTCATCCCAACACCATGTTCACCACCCTCATCCATGATCCTGCATGCTGGCTGTCTCAGGTAAATGATGAGCACAATTATCTGCTTTATCTTCTTGTTTAAAAAGTGGTCATTATTAAGTCTGTAGGTCCTTGAGTCTCTTTAGTTCCAAATGTAACTATCTGTGGTTTTGACATCTACCTTGCAGGGTTTGAAAAAGATGCGCCTGATCCAAAATTTACAGGTTTAATTTAATCTCACATGATCGTTTTTAACTCTTCCATATTTCATAATCTGAACAATTAAAAGCAATCCTATCATATCAAATCTAAGACTCTATCAAGGACAGGCATGTTTTGAAAATAGCTGTAATTGCTACTGAAGCAATTCTCTGATCACCAGGATTCCCTTGTAAAAGGATTAGTAAATGTTTAATGACCTATTTATTGATAATTAATGAAGCAATTAGTGCTCTTTGTTTCTGTTCTACATACATTAGGCGACCACAAGAGTTTGACAGTTTATTCTTACTGATGGACGTGTTTTCATTCCACTCCGAAATTAGCTTTACAGTGTATGTAATAGTATGCTGTAAGGACCAGCGATTAGGGTGTATAAATAACTTCACACAGCCCTTTGTGGCATGTATCCTTCAAAAGACGATATTTCAAGCTGATTGTGCCATTAAAAAGCCTCAAGGGAGAAAAAAAAGTTTAATTTGTCTTAATGAGTGTGTGTTCTCTGTTTTTTTTTTTCAGCCCGCAAAAGGATTTGCTAGCTCATTCCACGTAGACATATCGGAGACAGCGTGAATTTGTGTACTACAACATCAGCACTGATACTAAAGACGGTGAAACAGAACTAAAACAAATGGCAGCCTGGATGACAGAAACCTTGGCTAAACTTCATTTTCTCGAGTGGCGAACTGTAACAGAACCTTGGCGGTGGCTGCTGAGGGAGAAAAAAGGAGAAATAATTACTGAGTAGCAGTAAACCTCTTGATACCCAAGGAGCAATTCAAGGCCTTATTTCTCTCAGCAGGACTGAGAACGGCATGAAACTCTTGACCAAATGAAGATTATAATGGCATAAGATTACTGAGGGGATGAATTGAAATAATAAAGTAAGACAGAGGGGTACTAATTAAATTAAAGAGGTGTTACCCCCCGCCCCCCCACCCCTTGCCTAAAAGAGGGTTAGCCTCTAGAAATATGTGTGTGCCTGTTTACATAAAAAAAGAAAAAATGTTTCTGTACAAACTTCAACCAATGTCACACTGAACCCTTTAGCTATTTCTATGATCACCACTAAGCCAGCTGTACAGAGTGTTTTGGGAGGGAAAGGAGACTGACAATGAGAAAGCAGATGACGCAGGAAAAAGAGTATACGAGTTGTACATGTACAGGATAAAAAAAAAAAAAGCAAACAAGTGCAGTAATATAGATTCTATATCCAGTTTTTTGACTTGACTGTCTTTATATACCTTCTCTTTTTGTTTCTGTTTTTTCTGTGTGGTTCAAGTGTGGAGCGTAGAATATTCCAACTCAGCTTCAGACAAGCACTTGTGGTTCAGCGTTGGGTTGAGCCCTCTTTCAGACTTAGCTAGCCTCTTCAGGAAGGAGATTTGGACAAATCACTGTGTTAATGTAGAGTATCATTTTTGGGATCAGAAATACAATACAAGAAAAATTAATGTTTCATGTTTGTTCATATTTTTAAAAGGCTTCTTATTGTTTTTTAAGGTCCTTCCTGAGCTATCGGCAGAGAAAGCGTAATGACCTATTAGAGAAATGTGGTTCTCTTGATGCCATTGGCCTCTACATAACTAATCAGACACACTCAGTGGTTTTTATCATGTGTGCAAAGTGTTTACTGTACTATTTTAAAATCTTATAAATGAATATAAATCTATATATATATAACACTATATATATATATATATACACAATATACTTTTGCTGAAAACTGTGTAACCATTAATTAGTTTTTACACTCCATTAAGTCTCTCATTCTTTTAATACAAAGTGCTAAAAATTTAAGATGAGTATTGTTTTATTTAAATAAGCAGTGCTTAGCCTGAAATGCTACATTTTATGACAACCACCAACTAAGTTAATGTTCTTATTTTACTGTTATTTTTCACTGTTTACATATTTCAGGCCTTGTTGTGTGCTGCCAAGACACAATTTAAGTTGTTTTGGGCTGTAATGTATTTTCAAGCAGATAATGTACAGGATGGAAAACTGTCACAATCCAGCAAGACTTCTTAAGTTTTACGTTATTAGACATTTTCATCTCACAGAAGGAGGTTATACATTTTGATGAACTTTGCTCATACATCATATACACACATATAAACACAACCACAGACACACAGATAAAATGGTGATAATAAACTGTGTCATTTAAGTTTTCTTAAGTGTATTTTGTTGTGGGTATCTTCAAAATTGTGTGTGTATTTGCAAATTATTTTTGCAATTCACTGGCCTCAGAAATGTTTTTATGTTTTGATTTAGGTTTTTTTTTTTATTATTTTTTTTTATTATTTTTTTTTGGATATCATTTGATTATTTCACCAAAAATGTATAAAATCCTTTGGAGTATAGAAAATGTAGTAGAATGTAATTCTAAAGATAAAAATATTCTAGGTAAACAATTTTTAACTTATTATTTTTATTTTTTCAATACATTTTTTATGGAAGACATTCTAAAGTCGTAAAAGAATGTCATGGAATTTCAAGAAGTAATCACCATGGCCCTGCTCTACTTTCTACATTTCTTGACCTCAATAGCTCCTGAAAAAAATCCCAATCCTACCCCTCCACTACAGCGTGATCTTTAGATGGCCTGGCATATGCTTACAGAGATAAGCAGTAAAAAGCAAAAGAAGAGAAGTCCTGGATCAACTGCAAGTAAAGTGAGGGGTCATGTGGGAGACACAGCAATCCCATACTTAATGTCCTAAAAACAGAGCTGAGTTTGTCTCCATCACAAGATAGCCTTCTTTAAAGAGCAGAGGGACATGTGACCAGAGCATATGACTGATTGAGTGGTTGCCTTAGTGAATCAGGGCCCTTTGGGCTTCTGATTAAAACCTCACCCAGAAATTATTCAAAGTTCTTTTGAGAGACTGAGAAACTTTTGAAGAAAGAAAAAGAGGTCATATGCTTAACTAAATAATTAGATAAAACCAGAGCATTATCATTGGGGTCATACGATTTCTGTGTTCTTAAAGTGGTATAACCCCAAAATGACTTTTTGGTTGCAAGCATGGTTAATGAATAAACCTTAAAGGGGTACAAAAATATGATTGGGCTTTCACATGCAGGTCAGAGGAGGCATTCCCTCAGTTGTTATTATGACAGATATTTACCAATGTATGCTCCAAATGGCTATATTTCTATCATTTTCTTTTCAAATGCATGGGAAAAGGGAGGAATGAGGAGCTGTACCTCCCCTCTTAGGGAGCTGTGTTATAGCGCATTCAGAGACCAAACATGTTTGAGGATCTAAAAAGCTTCCAAAGTCTCAACTTAGATGCTTGTGCATTTGGAGGTCAGATGCTCTGATTGTTGAGCTGCTCTGTTCAGTTGAAATCCAGAAAGTAGCTTGACTTTATTTGCTTCGCTGTGTTGGGGAAAAAAATATGTTCATTTAATCAGGATTATGATCCTACTTAAATATTCTGCTCATGTTCCAAGCGGCAGACCCCCCTGCATCCCGGTGGTTGCTGGGACTCCCCACCCAATGAGGGCTTTCTAAAGCCGGCCAGGCTCATTGGGATTTCTCACTCCCAAATCATTAAATATTAACACTAGTCAATATCCCCTGCGCATCATATACTGATGTTTAAAGGGTACCATTCTGGTAATTTATTGACACGCAGGCAGGGACTGATCGAGGCCAAAAAAACTGTCCTGGATTCTTACTCAGCATGACCTACAACAATTGACGCACATAAACTCACCACCTGCCATAGACACTCTATCATAAACTTTACCAATAGCCATAATAGCACTAGTCACTAAGTTGAGAAAGATGTGTGGGGTTAAATCTTGAATTAGTTAAAACAAATGGAGCTGTACCCTAGTCTCTCTGACTGAGCCAAAACTAAACAGGTATCTGGAAAAAAAAAAAAAGAGTACTCTTTGGCTTATTATAGATGAGAAAGTATTAGGCTGTAAAAATACATTACTACTACTTGAATACATAACTAAATAAATTCTAACCATAAAAAACAAAGCTCTTTGCCATTTTAATTAATCCTGGTGAATTAGCATTTTCTTTAACAGTTCACTTTTTCTGCAGCTCTGTCTGTGACCAAATCATTGCAAAGAGACAAGGGGAAGGCTGTGTACGAATGTCTGCCCTAATCAATGTATACAAATACCATAAAAGTCCCATAATACTCGCAAAGCATTCTGCAATATCTACTCATCTAGTGGCCATGGATGATAATTGCTTTTCAAGGTGCATTTTTTCAAGGTGGGAAATTTTGAGTCCACTACTCTATCATCCAATATAGGTTCGGACAGTTATTTAAAATGGCGTAACCACTATATAGTGATTAGGGTGGACATTCGGACACAGCCATGCTCATAAGCATAAATTCTTTCAAGTGTTCATCCTCGGCATCGCCTGTGGTGGCAACGCCACCCGCTTCCTCTTTCACTGTGGCGCAGCTGCTGCTGGCTGTGCCTTTTCAGAACAATTTAGTACATTTGCCGCTATTAGCAGCTTAAATTTCTAAATGTCACTTCTTCCTCCTTGCCTGCTCAGCCCACCCATTTTCTTTTCTTAACAACACTATTCCATTTTGAATACTTTACAACTAACTTCTTTTTATTTGTTGGCTTGGTCTTCTTCCTTTACTCCACAAATGGGAGACAGTGGCAGATGGCTTAATTTTAAACTGCATTTCTGCAACCTACAGGATGGAGGTAGATTACTGAGAAAAGAAGTGATGACTGTGTGGCATTACTATTGCAGCAGACCATCAGCTGAGCTGCACACATATGACGGTCGCTGACGTTCTGTGATTCTCCAGAACCCCTAGATGGCCAGTCTGCGCCCATGGTGTATGACAGATTATTGACATTGTATCATGCAAAAGGCACCAAACCCGCTACAAAATAATTTAAAAATTTTAGCGTACAAGGTTTGCATAACAGAATGTTCCATGCTTGTCACTTCCTTTCCATACAAGCACAACACAGTCTGTTACATTAAGTTGGTTTTTGATTTGAAAATGCTTCCTGCATGAGAAGCAAAACATCATCAAACTTGGAAACAAAGAGAAGCGGATGTTTTTTTTTAATATTTTGGAATTAATTTGGTTGCTTTAGGAGTGTATGGTAACATGTATACTAGTGTTTCTTTAGTTTCAGGCAAAGGGATTGGTTAGTGGTAAGTTTTCATTTTACAGTTCATGGAAGTTCCTTTTCCAACCTGTCATGCACCCTTAATGAGAGTGCTATCACCGTTGTGTTAGTATGATGTGCACAGGATCTGACCAACTGTTAATACCAGTACCAAGTACCAGTATTTAAAATCGAAGATTACTCTACAACTTAAATTAATGTCAGTATCTATAAACTTTCTCCACAGTTCAGTTAGAAAATATTTCAACAGAGTAATAATGATCACAGCACTTATTGTACATAAAATTTCTTTTATCCTGGCTTTTTAAAACCTGTAGGTAATAAACACATTATATTTATTAAATGTTCATATGT